AAATTTATAAAAAAATTTTCAACCGGCATCCGTTGGAATTCGGTTGGAATTTTTTTTAAAAAAATTTCCAAAAAAAATTTCAACCGGCATCCGTTGGAATTTTTTTTAAAAATTTCCAAAAAAATTTCCAACCGGCATCCGTTGGAATTGTTTTCTAACAAACATCTGTTGGAACTCCGTTAAAAATTTGCAACCGATTTTTCCAACGTTAATCCGTTGAAAATTTCCAACGGATATCCGTTGGAAATACCGTTGAAAATTTCCAACCCAATTTTTCAATTGAATACGTTGAAAATTCTGTTAAAAATTTCCAACGGGTGTTTCCAACAGATACCCGTTGGAAATTTTCAACGGAATTTTAACGGAAATCATCGTTGAAACGCCGTTGAAAACCGTTGAAAATCCGTTGGAAATTTTCCAACGGACAAATCCGTTGGAAAATCCGTTGGAATTCGAGGATTTTTTTGTAGTGATTGAAAAAGTTGAACCCTCAAAGAGTAACGCGGAAAACCAATCAGTTCTATTCACTTGAGAAAGATAGTCAAGTACAACTCACTTTTTGTTGTAAGAATCGTACTTACTACACACCCGAAACTCCCCCTGAGTTTCTTCCCCTCTCACAATGAATTCTAATGATTCAAAAACCTCAGAACATAAATCACTCACCAAAGAAAGGAGATTTGCCCAATCGGTCTCCCTCTCAGACTCACACTCACCAAATAGTGAGTAACCACTCAAAGAACAGAATAGACTCGGAATTATGCTTATGCCCTCTCAAAGGCCTGATATGCATCTTGTCTCCCTTATGTAGGCTCCTCCAGTTTGCCTCAGATCTCTACGAGTTGATTTGATAGACTTCCCCTTCGAACACCATACCCGATCAAAAGTCGAGAGCCTTCTCCGTGAAGCGCTTGAGACTGCGATTCGGCCTTGTTCCATCCTCTCCGAGTCAAGGCGTGTATCACCTCGGCTCCAATATCGATCACTCTCAAGAATATTCCTACTGAAATGTACTCCTTGAAAGGTATCAGCTACATCGCTAGCAGTGTTGAAGAACCACTGCATACGGAGAAGATGAGGCTCGACCCCCTGAATATAGGAGAGTCTAGGGTCAAAATAGAGGTTCAAGTCAGAGCTCCTCTGCCTGAGGCGGTGGAGGTTGAGGATGATAGGGGTGTTGTCGTCATAGTAAATGTTGCATACTCATGGCTCCCTCCCCGATGCTCTCAATGCCATCAATTCGGACACAAGGCTTCGAGTTATCCTTCCCCTAAGGTGGATTCAATTGCCCCGACCCCGACGTCCCCAATGTCTGCGTTCTCATCAGGGGACAAATCTATCCTCGCAGATGCTCCCGTTAAATCCCAGAAAACTGCTCTTCCCAAAACCTAGGTAGCTATTGTATCACCACAACTCTTCAAATCAGACGAACGATTTATATATAGCTGCACATTTTCACCAGAGTTTTTTTTATTTGCTCCGCTCAAACATAATTCATCATCTTTGGTAAATTGGTACTGTTAGTGCAATTATTTGCACGATATGTTGGTTGTTAGAGTTGTTGCAGGTTAAACAAACTATGAGAGATTTCAGGAGAAGAATCCGGCGAGATGACACTCGAGCAAATCTGAGATGCAACTGAAGAGATTCAGATAAAGTCAAAGACTGAAGAGATAGAGTCAAAGGCTGAAGAGATAGAGTCAAAAACAAGAGATAAGCTGAGATCCTGATGATAGACACGAAATCAGCAAGAATCCATTGCCCCACAATAAAAAGAGGTGTTTCCTATCTCTATCCCTGCAAAGTTCTGGTGCTAAAAACCCTAAAATCTGAGAGGTTGATTCGCAAGAGAGTTGTGTGGTTCAACAGAAGAAAATCGTAAAGAGAGAGTGAAATTTCAAGGTTCAGTCTCAGCATGGATCCGAAAGAAAGGAGAGAAGATGCTGGTGAGGATCGTCACCTAGAATCAGAAGAAGGTTCATATGGCGAAGGGAAATCGAGTGGACTCAGGAAAGAAGAATCTTCGAACTCGTTTGTGAGTGCGGAAGAAGATCCAGAAGAAAACCCATCAGAAGAATCTCGCAAAAATCCGAGGGAGAGTCGACGGACTAGCAAGAAAGATATAGTGGGCGATGAAATCCAAGAACTCGAAAGCCCAGAGGAGAAGATCCAAGGAACAAATGCGGAGATCCCAGAAGAATTCCAGGAAGGAAACCCTAGGATCGAAGATGAGTGCAAGGAAACCGAGGATCTACAAACCTCTCTGCCTCCTGAACAAGTTGATACGGGTAAACTTGATGAACTCTTTACTTACTCTACTGGAGATATAGAGGAAAGTTCGGATAGTGAGCCTAGGTTGAGAAGAAAAAACACAAGAAGGCGTGTAGATTTTGATAAGGATGTGAGTGTAGAGAATGTAGAGTCTGGGAAGGATGTGGGTGATATATCCAAACAAATGGAGGAACTGCCCTCAGCTCAATTAGGGCAGGAGAAATCGAAGGATGCTGAAATCGAAGTGGTTGCGGACTCAGCAACGGAGACAGAAGTGCTGAAATCAAAAGAGGATGATGAACCTGAGGTGGACTCACGTGCACAAAAGGTTGAAAGCAAGAAACCTAAGGCAAAGAGCGCTGAAAGAAAGGGCAAGGTTTCTGACTCTCGAGTGATAGCTGAACAAAGAGCAGTTCTCCTTCTGGGACAGAAGATGAGGAATTACTGGTGAGCCTGTGTATGTCTCATCACTTTGTTGATGAGAAATCTGAACAAAGGTTCAATGACATGAAGAATCTCAACACGATTGTGGAGAGAAACGTGAATGTTAGCAACCTCAAGGAGCATGGCATATGGGATATCCTGGAACGTCTAAGTCTAGAAGAAACAGTCACCTATGCTTGTTCACACAGCAAAATTCTGATCAAAGAATTTTATGCAAACATCACTAAGAAGATTGTGAAGGCAGGGGATCCAATGTACCATCGGGTGTACATAAGAGGAAAGATACTGCATTTTTCTCCAGCAGTAATCAACAAGTTCTTCGGCTTGACGAACACAGTTGTGACTACCATAGATGAGCTGGACAGGGAGATTGACCAGAAAGAGCTGGAGATAGCTCTCACTGACACATTTGATGAAAAGAGGAAAGGTGAAATAGCCCCAGTAGAGCTGAACTTCGAGGCTTCAGTACTGTTCAAAATTGCCATATCTAACTAGTTACCAACCCAGCTATCAAGTCTGATTCACAAGAGGTTAGCAGTACTTATCTACTGTGTGAAGAAAGGAATTAAGATCAACTATGGAAATATGATCTTCGACCATATTCTAGAGAGAGCCCTGAACTTCAGAGCAAGGTTCAGACTGCCGTATCCCTGTCTAATTCAAAGCATCCTCACCAAGCAGTGCCCAGAACTCATCGATCCAAAGGAAAACACTGAAGTGATTCAAAAACCCCTGGTGGTTGAGACAAGAATCAAAAGGAAGAAGGGTAAAGGAAAGAAGGACTACAAGAAGATGCTGGAGACTCTGAAGGATGCAGAAAAAGCATTGATAAAGATGGAGCTCGGACTAAGGAAGCAGACAACACAATGTCAGCAAATCTGTGCAACAGTCCACGAATATATTGAAGCAACTCTGAGTAATGTGTTCATTATTCATTCAGGTACTCCTCACCTTGATATTATTGTTTTTGATTATTTCATCCATGCCCACAGGGGGAGAAATTGAGGAAGCCGAAGGAGACCTAGATTCAGAAGAAGAAGACTCAGAGGAGGAGGAAGAAGGAGATGATTCTGAGATGCCTAAACCGACTCCTAAGAAAGCGGAGGCATCGAAGAAGTCAGGAACAAGCAGGAAGACTAGAAGAGCCAGGAGTTCTTCCGATAACTCATCACTTCGTTTTTGAGTTTCTTTTGCTTATGATCTGAACTTTCTTGCTCTTGATGATTCTATGTGGTGAACTGAAGTGTTATGTTTTTGGTAACCGTGTGCCTTGATGACTCTAGTTTGTTGGTTTTGAACTTTGATGAAATCAGTGGAAGAGTTTGCGTTTGTGTGCATGATCTGAAATAACCAAAAAGGGGGAGATTGTTAGTGCAATTATTTGCACGATATATTGGTTGAGTTGTTGCAGGTTAAACAAACTATGAGAGATTTCAGGAGAAGAATCCGGCGAGATGACATTCGAGCAAATCTGAGATGCAACTGAAGAAATTCAGATAAAGTCAAAGACTGAAAAGATAGAGTCAAAGGTTGAAGAGATAGAGTCAAAAACAAGAGATAAGTTGAGATCCTGAAGATAGACACGAAATCAGCAAGAATCACGGAGAAGTCTATCAAACTCGTGAAGATCTGAGGCAAACTGGAGGAGTCTACATAAGGGAGACAAGATGCATATCAGGCCTTTGAGCGAGCATAAGCATAATTCCGAGTCTATTCTGTTCTTTGAGTGGTTACTCACTATTTGGTGAGTGTGAGTCTGAGAGGGAGACCGATTGGGCAAATCTCCTTTCTCTGGTGAGTGACTTGTGTTGTGAGGTTTTTGAATCAGTAGAATTCATTGTGAGAGGGGAAGAAATTCAGTGGAAGTTTCGGGTGTGTAATAAGTACGATTCTTACAACAAAAAGTGAATTGTACTTGACTATCTTTCTCAAGTGAATAGAACTGATTGGTTTTCTGCGTTACTCTTTGAGAGTTCAACTTTTTCAGATACAAACATAAGTTTTTCTAATATTTTGTGTTTAGATTTAGGAGTTGACAAAAATCAAACTAGATCTAGGTGTATTTTCGATTTCGCAAGGTTATAATTCTGATGGAAATATTTAAACCTAACAAATATCGAATATGAAAATTCATGTAATGGCTTGAAAAGAAACCTACCAAAATGAATTTCCGGTTCTATTTGAAACCGATTATCTCAAAATCAAACTATGAAACAGAAAAACACTATTCCCTTCCCTCTCGTTGGATTGCAACCCCGAAATCCAACTTAAAAAAGAAAAAAACTATTCAGAACCGTATGAGCAAAGGTGCATCATCACCGTTCAGACAACGACTAAACGAAATCACAGCCGTTATTCCAACGACACGTGTAAATTCCAATATTGACTTTCTCCCTAATCAGAGCGTTGACTCGTATTATCTACGACTCCACAGTCACCACCACCACCGCCTTCGCCTTCCCCCACTTAGAATTTTCTTTCCCATTTCTCTCCATCGTTTTCAATGGCGGCTCCTCTCTCTTTCTTTCTCTCTCTTTTACACCGATCATTCTCTCTCCACTTCCCCGATGGACGCCACTCTCCAAGCGGTTCTCGCCGCCGTCGCAAGTTTCTGCTTCGTCATGCTCATCCTCTCCTTCACCTTCCTCGTCTGCCGCCGCCGCCGTCCTGCATATGCCGATCGCCGCCGCAATCGGACGGCCAGAACCAGCCCGGATCCGTCGCCTAACCCCGGCGGCGACCTCACCTCCTCTGCCTCATCGATCGACGAGAGCGCGTGCTTCGACCCCTCCATCAGCCATATCTCAATGTCGGAGCTCTCCGCCGCGACGAAAGGTTTCTCCTCCGATCTGATCGTCGGAGACGGCAGCTTCGGCCTCGTGTACCGAGCGGAGCTCTCAAACGGCGTCGTTGTCGCCGTGAAGAAGCTCGACCCAGACGCGATCCAAGGGTTCAGAGAATTTCGAGCCGAGATGGAAACCCTAGGTCGTCTCCATCACCCGAACATCGTACGGATCCTCGGTTACTGCATCTCTGGTCAGGATCGGGTCTTGATCTACGAGTTCCTCGAGAGAGGAAGCCTCGACTTCTGGCTCCACGACGAAAACGCCGCCGTTTCATCCCCTCTCTCCTGGCCCACGCGCGTCAACATCGCGCGTGGGATAGCTAATGGGCTCGCATACCTTCATGGGCTTTCAAAGCCCATTATCCATAGAGACATAAAGTCCAGCAACATCTTGTTGGGCCCAAACTTCGAGGCTCATATATCGGACTTCGGGCTGGCCCGTAGGATCGACTTCTCGAGGTCGCACGTGTCGACGCAGGTGGCGGGAACGATGGGATACATGCCGCCGGAGTACAGGGAAGGGAACACGGCGGCGACGGTGAAGGCCGACGTGTATAGCTTCGGGATTCTGATGGTGGAGATCGCGACGAGGCGGCGGCCGAATTGGCCGCTGATGATGGCGGAGGAGGATGGCGGGAGGGAAGTGGGGTTGGTCGAGTGGGCGACGGAGATGTATGGGCAAAAGCGGTATTCCGGTATGGTCGAAGGCGGTATTGAGAGCGTTGAGAGCGTTAAGGAGTATTATAGGATCGCGTGTTTGTGTCTGAACGAAGTCTCGAGGGAGCGTCCGTCGATGAAGGAAGTGGCGGAGATGTTGGAGAGAGTGGTGGTTTAGTGATTTAATGCACTTTTTGCGTGTGTGAATATTTAATGTTTTGTAAGTGAATAAGGGTTTCAATAAACATTTTTTTTTGTTTTTGCAATTAATAATATGAATTCCCCATAGAACAGTTTCTGTTAGGTTCGGGTTCGGTTTGTATGAGTCGGTTCGGATTCGGCTATTTCGGATTTGAAATATTTATTTCCAATCTGGTATTTTATTTTAATCGGTTCGATTCAATTCGGATATATATCAGTCAAATTCGGTTCGGTTATTTCAGATTCGGTTTTTTTGGATTTGAAATATTGATATCCAATTTGGTATATTATTTTAATCAGTTCGAGTATATATCGGTCGGGTTCGGTTCGGTTATTTATTTTTTAAAATAATGTCACATCAGATTTTTTACCGTATTTTTTTGGTGTTTGCGTTTAGGGACTTATTTGATGGATTTTATAAAGTATATGTATATTTCGGCGAATAAATATAGAGTTTTTTATATAAAAAAACAGGTTTTTCTTATCGATATGTGAAAAATATAGAATTTTTTTGGTGATTTTTTCTTTTTTTTTATAATTTATGTAATATGAATTTCTCGTTTAAAAAAAAAAAAAAACAGTTTCTGTTCTGTGGTTTCGTGAGCCGGATTGCAAGACTCACCAAATTATTTTGAGTATTATCATCGTTGTGCTCATATACGTAGTAAGGGAATGATCAAATTGAAATTAAATTCGGCAGGAAATTTGAACCTATCACATAGGGGTGGATGTTTTGGTATTCGGTTCGGGTTTGGGTCGAAAATAGTTCAGTTCATTTCTTTCGATTTTATAAAAATAGATACTAATCGATTATTATATTATATTTGGTTTAGTTCGATTCGATTTTAATTTCGATTCGATTCTAATTTTATTAAAAAAAATTAGATCTTCGTCAAAAAAATTTGGTTCTGTTCACTTCGGTTGCGAAAAATTCAGTTTTTTCGAAAATTAATACCGTTCGAGAATTTTGGACGGTTTAGATCGAAAAAAATATAGCATTTTTCGGTTCGTTATGGTACAATTCCGAATCGTCCACCTTTAATCTCATATTGGAAAACAATGTTTCCTAACAAAATAAAAAGAAAGCAATATATATTGGATTTCTTGGAAAAGTTGAAAAAAATGTATATGTATACTTGCAAATTGTACCAAAAAAAAGTTGGCATATGCAACATCTATGTTTTTTCAAAAATATCAAGATCACCGCTAAAAATGCATTTTTTTAAAAGCTAATCTTCCCATTTTTTCTTTCTAAAATCTCCTAAAAAAGTTTTTAAATAACCACAATTTTTTCAATTCGAACTTTTTTGTAGTGCAAGAAACTCATTTATGAGCGTACAAAATTCGTTCGACAGTTTACAAAATCCGTCAGTAAATTCACGAATTTTGTTTGGAAACACATCGAACTCATGCGAGAGTTCATGAAGTTCGTACAAGAAAACTGTAGGATTTTCTAGGATTCCGAAATGTGCATTTGATAATCATATAGGGACTCGGTTTTAAAATTTAAGAAAAAGAAGAGACTTTGAAGGATGTCAACGCTTTCTACAAGTATCCACACAGCGGGATAGAATCCAACTATTAGATTATGTATGATAGGACTAGAGAACTCTTTGTCTTTTCTGTGTTAGGGTTTCTAGGAGGATAATGTGAGTTTCTGGAGCTTAGAATTGTTCTAATGCTGTGCATCGACTTTCCCTAAGTGTTTGGGAAGAACCTTTTTTGTAAACACCCCAGAAACCTAATTTCTTCTTAAAATCGTGATTTTTGGTAAATCTAACTCGAACCATTTAGTTATAAATCGGTTCAGTTCAAGTGTTGGAGTAAAAGTTGGTTTTCTAAAGCGAATTGGTGCGAGTTCAACTTAGAATTGTCCGATTCAAAAGTTAAACTCTTGGTCCGGCTGACCGCGGACAAATCAGATTCGGAACATATTTTTCGGGCTGAGTTCAAATTAACAAAGTCTAGTTTAAATTTTAACAAAAAAAATCCAATTTTCTCATCAAGATGCCAACTCGATTGAGTAATGATCAAGTGATAAATCTTAGACTAAACCGATTCTGCAAGGTTACGGATCGATTGTAGTAAAAAGGTCGAATTCAGGGATCAAAAGGTATTGGTTGCGATGGTGACTCTAACTATAGCGAAGGTTGATTGCAAATTGGTTGGTTGGTTGATAAAACTATAACTAAAAGCACTATAGGTTTGATTTTCACCAATGTTATGGATTGTTTATAAATATCTAGATTGAATTGTAGTTCTGGTTTCAGTTTGGAAAACTCTATCTTCTAATTTAGAACACATTCGGATCAGGAGTCATCGCTCTCTTACTAATGCTTTCTTATCACTTTTCGCATCTCTAGTTCCACATTAAAAGTATTAACGTCCGCTATCATTGTTCCTAAATTGAATTAATAATTCCTTATCAAGTCCCTTATGAGTTCAAAATTAATAATTGAATCTATCCTATGAATGAATTTCAGTTTTAACTAATCCAAATTCCTTTGCAATTAATTAAACCACATCAATTCAAAAGGTGATCATTCTGATGAAAGTATTACATTCAATTCATAAGACTGGATCTAACCAAAATATGCAATAATGATATTAAGTTCATAAACAAATCCATAACATGGCTAGAATCTGATAGACATCCATTGCGATACGTATATTCGAGGAAGCGTAAAGGCAAGAAGCAAGCAGAACCGTCGGTGATCGGAGACAAAGAGGAGGAAGCGGGAAATGTCTCTGGGATTGATACATCAGACAAGGCTTAACAAGATAGGAGCTAAGTTATTTTGCTATATTAAATATGTAATAGACAAGGGTATTATAGGCAATGTACATGAAGGGGAAAAACCCTAATGACATTAGCCCTTTTGAGTTTGATATGTGTATATAAGACAATACCCTTGGTTATGAATGGTATCAGAAAGTATTTGATCAAATGGGAGGAAGGAAAACCTCGAAACCCTATTGTTCTTCTTGTTCTTGCTGATTTTGGATTGATATTTTGGTGTAAATCTAGTGTTTACATCATTTAGTATCAGAGACAACAATCTAGGAAAAATCACTTTTTTTTTTCCTTCCTCAGACTTAACAACGATTAACACAACACTTTCTAAAACCTTAAGTGTTTCTCGAGACCTGGGTTGTTGACTTCTGTTCCCATTTTTTCTCTTTCCAAGCACGATACTACTCCTTTACCAAGAGAGCCGACACCAAGCCACCGAAGACCAACACCGGCGAACGGCGGCGTTCCGGGAGAAGAAAGAGACGGGCGCCGACGGACGAGTGGGAACAGCAACCAAGAACACGGAGAAACGACAAAGGTATGGCAAACACGAGGGGAGGAAAGGGTACCCAGCCTAGAGACACGATGGCGACGACGTAGGAGGAACCGCGACAGGATGAGGACTTGCCGACGGTGGGCGAACCGGCATCTGGCGACACCGTCGCTGCAGACGGAGGAATCACCGGCGCACCTACGACATAGGGGAATTTTGGAAACCCCTCTCAGGTTCGAGATCCCGCTTTGTCTGAAATTTTACAGGCTATGACCTCCATGGGGACTGAGTTCATGCGTTCGTGGGAGGCCATGGGAGCACGACTGGAACGAGCTCTGAACCAGCAGGGCAGACCGATTCTGACAAACCCAACCGTACCGCTGGGTTGTGTGGCTGTGGGTCGGGAATAGAGATCTCAGGCAGCATTCGGGGTTGAAGCCGGGTTGGGCAGACAAACAGTTGAACCCAACGCTCTGAGAACAGAGAAACAACGACCGTAAGGGTTGGGGACAGGGGTCACATGACCCCGAGTCCACCGACCGACTACGGTAAGAAGACAGAGTTGGTTTCCTTTGATGGTGAGAACTTGGAAGTCTGGTTGATGTAAGTTGAGCTGTATTTTCTCTTCTACCGGACTCCCGATGAGGAGAAAAAGAAGATTGTGCTATGGCATATGTGTGGTGATGTCTTAATCTGGGTTCAATGTGAAGAGACTGCAAAACCTTTCTCAGGATGGGAGGACTTCAGGGAACGTTTATTGATCCGATTCGGACATGGAGAATCAGGATCAGCGTATGAGAGTTTGATGGTACTAGATCATACCGGCTCTGTGGAGGAGTATCGCAAGCGCTTTGACGAGATTCGGGCACCGACACATGACCTAAGCACCAAATTCCTTGAGAAGGCATTCCTCCGTGGACTTAAACCATTGCCAAGTATGTGAAATTATTTCCCGTGAATGACCTGCAACATATTATGGAAATGGCGCATCGAGTGGAGCAGTCAGGACTCATTGAGGAGAGGGGGCTCAATCGACCAGCACCCCAAGTCAGGGGGAGCTCGGGCACGATGACATCGAGCCGAAACCCACTCTTTTCGCCGAGACCTTTCTCACTGAAATCTCTCGGGGGAGTCTCGTCGTCTACAGGGAATAGTTCAAAGACAGTGGCGATGGGTTCGAAACACCTCACATTCGAGCAAATACAAGAAAAGAAGTCTAGGGGAATATGTTTCCGTTGTGATGGAAAATGGCATCCTGGACATCGTTGCCCTAGCCGCTCTCTTCAGGTCATGTTGATTGATGATGAAGAGGTCAAAGAGAAAGGAGAGGGTTCGGACGAAGAGGATGGTCATCAAGTTGCTGAATTATCCCTTAATTCCATCGTTGGGATAAACTCGAAACATACTATGAAAATCGTGGGGGAGCTTCTGGGCAACACCGTTGAAATCTTGATCGATAGCGGAGCGACAGATAACTTTATCTCTGATAGGGTCGTTACTCAACTAGGCCTTCCCGTAGACCTAAGTCAAGAATATGAGATCTCAGTGGGGAATGGAGAGGTCTTGGTTAGCCTAGGAAAGTGCAAGAATCTGGGCTTAGTAGTGCAAGGGGTGGAGATTTTAGCCAACTTCTTGGTCTTTGAACTCGGGAGTGCGGACGTTATATTCGGATACCGATGGCTAGAGACGTTAGGGGAGACCGTGATAGATTGGAAGAGACACACGCTTAAATTCCAACGAGGTGGACAAACAGTCATTCTTAAGGAGGACTCGAGCTTGATACGTTCAGAGATCTCTCTTAATGTAATGGTGAAGACCCTGCGAAAGAGGAAGGAAAGTGTGATAATTGAGTTGGCGGAGTTGACCCGTGAGGAGAGTGGA